TCCAGTCTCAAGTGTTTATCCAGCACCTACCATGTAAGTGTCAGGGAGGGTACCAAGATAACAAGGGAGAGGCCCTTCCTTCGGGAACTTCACAGGCTTGACATTGTGGTGCAGGATGTGGTGGATGCTACAGAGTGGGTTCTGACTGGGGCTTTGAGCTGAGTTGTGAGAAAGGGAAGGGGAAAGGGGGATCTTCCAGACAGAACAGCAGAGCAAAGCTGGGCTACAGGGAGCGCAGGAGAGTGCCCTGACATGGTTTGAGGAAATTTGGACAGAAGCCCAGAATACTAAGATTCTATATAAGCAAGGAAAACCCACAAAAGTGATTGAAGAGAGGGGTGATGTGATCAGACTGGTATTTGGAGGGGATGATACTGCTGCATAGAATGGTTTGTTGAGTTGGAGGTAGACCTGTGTACCCCTGGCAAAGTGCTACATTTCCATCCTATGCTCCATCTACAATAATGTCCCAACCCATACTAGGCCCCTTCATGTTCTGCTTCATGCTTTTCTCCTTCTAGGCTTGTCATCATGCTGGAGTATTTCTCCCTTACATTTATGCCTTTATTAAAATATTCACCCCTCTAGACCTGTGTCTGGCTCCTGCAGCACACGCAGCTTGCCCCACATCCAGTTTCTGCAGTGCAGGGCAGCCAGTGGTAACGAACAGCAGCATCCCTGGCACCCAGAGCAGTTTTGTGGCAGAGTACCTCTAATGAGATTCCTACCTGTTAACGCTTTTCTGGGCACCTTAGAAGGTGATTTCTGGAAAGTTGCACAGGGCAAGTTCTACTGGCACCACAGCAACTTCTCTGTGGCTCATTCAGGGAGCCGTAGCCCTCTCCAAGGAGGTCTCAATTTCATTCCTGAGGGCAGGTGGGTAGACGGGAGGGGGTCTTCCTCGGATCCTCTATCTCAGCCCTGGGGTAGTGGCTGTTGGCATACCTGCCGTTCCTATAGTCCTTTGAGTTCTCTTTGCTTCTTATTAGTCAGACCTTCATTAGTCCAAATCCTGCTCTAGTTAGTGACTCTTTATATTAAACTTTCCCTGTTCAAATTACTGTGTGTTTTCTCTCCCCAATTGGACCCAGACTGATATACCATCCTTGTAGGCCTGCATTGCCCAATATGGTAGCCACTAGCCACATGTGGCTATTGAGCACTTATATTGTGGTTGGTGCCAAGGAGGAAATGAATTTTTAATTTAATTTAACTTAAACTAAAAAAAGTGAAGTAGTGTAAATTTTTTTCCATTAAATACTTCATTGCATGTAAGATGTCTCATTAACATTTTATTATATTAATTACATGTTGAAATGATAAAACATTGGATATGGTGGGTTAAATAAAATTGAAATTATTTTCACTTGTTTTACTTTTTTATATGGCTGCTAGAAAATTTTAAACTATGTACGTGGCTTGAATTCTATTTCTATATATATGACAGCCCTGTTCTATACCCACTTTCTATATAGTCTTTCCTGATTTTCCTAAACAGATATGGCCTCTGCCTCCTGAATAGCTCTTTGAATTTCTCTTAGGATATTTGTGGTGGACATTTGCTAGGTTTTTGCCTGCCAGCATTCTCTCTCCTCTTTTTATAGGCATCTCAATCTCCTTTTGGGGGAATGTCCCATGATGTGTAGCCTTGATGAGAATTAGTGACCATGTCCCACTACAGAAACCACAGGAGTTGTCCCTGCTAGCCTGGGGAATGGGCATAGAACCAAATTCCCTCACTTGGAAGCTCCCTCCAGACACTCTGTATCTTGAGCAAGTGCTCCAAGGATGTGGGGTCAGTTGGAGGTCCTATTTCTTAAAGATATGGCAGTCTGGCGCATACGCCACACGTATCTTTCTGCTGCCACTTTTGCAGTGACTTCTGCTGCCTAGCCCTCTGCAGCATCTAGGTTTTCTAAATTGATTGGAAGTCAATTAATATGATTTCACTGATTCTCACCATTGATTCTGTGAGACCCTGACATTTGTCCAATCAATTCCCCTTTATCTTAAGATTTATAGAGGCTGCTTCTGTTGTTTGTGACCAAGAACTCTGATTGATTCTGCACTGATGTTGTCCAAGTGTGTATTACATTTAGTTCTAGCAAGTTCTAGGCTATGGGGAAAGTCTCAAAATTGAAGGATAAGCTGAAGAGTCAGACTTCGGGAGGCACAGGAACCAGCCCTACAGATCTACATGTCAAAAATGGTGGGTGCCATCACTGAGATGAGAGCACATGGAGCTTTTTCAGTGTTTGGGTCATCACTTTGTTCATTCCAGAAGCAGAGAGTAATGGACCAGCTGAGGGTAGGGGTCTGTGGTAGACAGCATAATGGGCCCCCAAGACATTTATGTCTTAATCCTTGGAACCTGTAAATGTTGCCTTAAATGGCAAAAGGGACTTTGCAGATGTGATTAAGTTAAGGACCTTGAGATGGGGAAATTATTTTGGATTATTTGGGTGGGAACAATGTAATCACAAGGGTCCTTAAAAGTGGAGCACCTTTCCCAGCTGGATCAGAGAGATGTGACCATAGAAGAAGGATTAGAAAGATGTTACTAATTTGAAGATTGCTGGTTTTGAAGATGGAAGAAGTGGGTAACAAGCTGAGGAATGCAGATAGACTCAAGAAGCTAGAAGAGGCAAGGACAGGGATCATCCCTAGAGCCTCCAGGAATGAATGCAGCCCTGCTGACACCCTGGTTTTAGACTGGTGAGATTTTTGACCTATAGAACTGTAAGATACTAAATTTGGGTTGTTTCAAGCCATTAGGTTTGTGATAATTCGTTACGGCAGCAAACAGAAAACTAATACAAGGTCCACCCCTTGGGCTAGAGAGGACATCACTTTGATTGACAGTCCTACCAAGGCTGTACCCCTTGGCACAGGCGGAAGGTTCTGTGTGAAAATCAGGTGCCAGGAGCAAATGAGGGAAAGGATGCTGAACAGGAAAACATGGGTGCCCAATGCAACCAACCACCACAGCTCTTTGCACACTGTTTAATCAAAATCTGTCCAAAGGAACTTTTAGGGCCAGCAACTGATTAGGTTAAATATTCTGGATGAGAAACTTTGAGGAAATAGAAGAGAACTTAAAAGGAATGTAAATCCAGTATTTATATATGCAATACATACATTACTGCATCTTAAAAACTCCAAATTTTGTCATCAAGATTCTCATGAAACTTGAAAAGGACTGATACCCCCTCAGTAAAGATGTAGTTAATTCACTCAGCTGCCCTAGTACTTGTTCCATAAAGTGTTGAAGAATCACTGGCTTAGTCACTGACTAATCAGTTGCTGCTAAACAAGAGACACTAATGGAGGCCTACTTAGAGGCAAACGAGATGGAAGTTATAGTCCACCAGTCTAAGAAGGCAAAACATAACCAGGAGAGCCACGAGGTGCAATAAAAGGAATTTACTGTACCTGTCCAAAAATCCTGATTGTGGTCACTTAAGGTCACTAGAAGATCAGAGCGAAGTGATGCAAGTCAAGTCATTGGAAAAGCCAGGGCTGATGTCCAACACACGCTCGGCTTTTGAATGCTTGGTCTTACTGGGCAATGGTTTAACAGTGGGTAACAAAAATATCACTTTGGAATATAGTAGAATATTACTCTAAAGGGTTCGTGTATTGTCACTCATAATTCAGTTAAGAGATTTTTGGCTTAATAACATACTTTTCCTGCAGTTACGAAGACCCATGCTCAAGTGACAGTAAGGTTTCTTGGTCACCTTTTTCAAGGTGAGTCATTGTTCTGGTTGAAAACAAGTTTGGCTGTGAGCATTCCCTTAGGAGTTTGTGTATTTACTTGTTTGTTGTTTGTTGTTGGGATTTGGGAGGGGTGGGATTTGACTGGGATTTGGGGTTCCTTTCCCAGACTCCTGAACTAGGTAGGCTCGAAAAGAGATGATTCTAGGACAATTGTTCTCAATCCTGGCCTTATGTTAGAATTATCTGGGAAGCTTTAAAACAAACAAAAATACCAATGTTCAGGCTCAGAACTCTGGAAGGGGACCCTGGCATCTGAATACTCTAAGAGCTGCCAGATAAATTTAACACCTGATCGATGCTGTCAGGATTAAGAACTATTGCTTTAGAATTTTCTAGTATGGTTATCCTGTAGGTCATTAGTTTTGTGGCACCCGCTCAGGGAGGTATGGCTTAACAGTGTGTCTCGAACTTGCGTGTGCCTAAGAGCCACCTGGGCACTGTTTAAAATTCAGATTCCCAGGCTTCATCCTTAGAGAGTTCTAGAAGATCCCGCTTGCGTCGGGCCCAGCAATCTTCATTTTATCTGTTGCAGGTGGTCTCAGGGTGACAGCCCGAAAAATTAAGGCTTGAGAGGTAACAGCCGAGGGAAGATTATGGCCAACTGGAAAGGGCTGTGAAAGAAAAAAAGTTTTGCGAGTACAGACCCCCTAAATACTTGTTTTTCGTTACCCCCGCTACTCTGGGCAGTTTGGGCTGGGACCACTGAAGAAGGAGACGTGAGTGTGGCAAGATGTGTGGTTGGCTCTGGGTTCCAGAAAATTCCTTCGGGCCCAGGGCTGGGGGGTGTTGCAGGCGGGGCCGGGTAATTGTCCCTCCACGTCCCTTTGCTGCGCCTCCGCTTCCACCTGCGCGCCCCCTTAGCAAGCGCCGGCCCGCGCCCTCCTGCTCGCGGGGCTGCGTCCCGCAGGAGCGCCGGGGGCCGCGTTGGGGGCCCGCGGC